CCCCAAAACCCCAAAACCCCAAAACCCCAAAACCCCATGAATCCAGAATAATATAAAATAGTATAAATGAAACAAATGATTAATTTCATAATTTTTTTAAGGAATTATTAATATTTTATAATTCATGGGAAGTTGTTAATCTAAAAAATTCCCCAAAACACCTACTTCTATAAAAACTAAGGATCAAAGAAGTATCCCTTAGCATCAGGCTAAATCTAATGAAGAAATTCATGAGCAAGATTAGAGTGAGAGCAGTTTGTCTATACAACATAAGCAACCTACTGGTATATTTATTCAAATTACTAGTTTAATTTTAGAAAGTGATTTATTACAGATTTTAGAAGCTTCTTACACTGGTAATTTAAAAAAATTCTTAGAACTAGTTGAAATTCATAAGGTTCAAGACATTTCTGATATTGTAGGATTCAGACAGCACATAAAAGTCGGAAATGAAAGATATGAAAAGAAGTATATTAATACATCCATCTGGAATCCATTATTACTCGCTATTGCTGGTTAATAACATCAAATTGTGAAAGCTATTTTTGAAAGAATTGACTCATTCCACCAAACTAACTGCCTGTCTAAACCTATCACTATAGAAAAACAGAAATATATTGAATATGATCATTAAAAAAGAATCAGAAGAGAATCTTTCGCTCTAAAACTTTCAATTAAAAATATGGATAGAGAGACATTTAAGTTTCTATGGAATGAAAATAGGTTACTCTGGAACTTGGGCCATTTTTTCTAATGTTTAAATAAGATAATTACCTACGGATGGGAATAAGGCCTCAAAATATTGATGGCTTCAACAACAACAAAGATTATTTTTATGTCCATTAATGAAGTAGCTGATTTTGTCGATACAATTGATCTTCTCAGATAAGAAATCACAATATCAGAAAGATCAAACCCAAAATTAGGTAAAAAGTTCCTTGATTACCTAAAAACAAGACCTTACTTCATTTACTCAATCTTCTTTGAAATAGCTTCATTTACTCATAAACCAAATAAAGAGCTCTTAGAATAATGTCTATCAAATCTAGTCTAGGATGATATTCAATTTTTACACAAATAACTAGATGAAATTTTTACTTAGGTTGATGATACTTAAGTATTAGACTAGTTTAAAAGTAAACTTCTGAATCGTTTTGAAAATAATGACCAGTTAATCTTAAATTATTTGAAAAAACTAGAAAGAGAGTTTGAAAAGCCAGAGGTGAATGATACTGAAGTGAATCTTAAGGTGCTTGAGGAACTTGATCTTTATGCATTTAAAACTATCACGGTTTAAAAAGAGCCAACTAATGCATTACTATAAGCACTAAAGAAAGGTTTTTTGAAAATGGTTTATTATTGTTTTGGAAAAGAAACAGGATTTATTAATCTGAGATCAATTATAAGATTAAATAACAAATTTGAAGTTCAAAATGACATTGCAGTTCTTTAGGTAGATTTCTTCAACAGTCATATTGATAATGAAGAGCTTTTTGAAATGATCTATTACAATCTCGTAGACATACTTCAGCTTTCAAACTTTTTAGAAATACTTGATGACGTAGCAATAAGAGGGAATATTAAAGTAATTGAGTTTATTCTAAGGGACAAAAAATTTTAGAGTCTTTTTATCAGTTCTCTTGAGTTATAGAAGTATCTTTTTATCAATGAAGCTAAATAAATACTTGGAAAGTAGAGTTTTGAAAAGGTATTGACAATTTTGAAAAATTTTCCTTATAAAGATTACTTTAAAGATGTAAGTTCTGGTAATAATGGAAAAGCCTACACCTAAAAAACTTTAGCTCATTTGGATAAACTTGATCAAAGAAAAAATGATCTCAGATAGAAAAGATAAAAGCTAATGATTACAAGAGGTAGTGGTCTCATTGAATTTCATTCATTATAGCCAGATTCTGCTATGAAACAAAGAAAATCATAGATTTTTCAATAATAAGACTTGTAATAGCATCTTACTTCTATTTAAGAAAGATAGGAATCAGAAATGACTGACAGATTAAAGTCAATGCTTGATAAGGATTCCAATGTTAACTTGAAGAAAATAAGCGATATTATGTTAGAGGAATAAAAACAGCCTTAAAAAAGTTAATTTTTTGATTAAAATAGAGATAGTGGAACAAAATTACTACTAACTCCTAATCATAAAGATTCTAATGGAAATATTCACACAAATTCTAGATAGATAACAGAAAATCAAGATGAAAATGTTAGACTCAGTTAAATGAAACAAAAAGAAGATGCAAAAATTCTCCTTCCACCTAGAGAAGCAAGGAAAAAACTAAAAGAAGAGGAATAAGTTTCATAGATAAATGATAGATCTAAAATAGCAAATAATGAAAGTCCTAACAGAGAATCTTAGTTTAAACTGCCTTATATTGATTAAAAGAATAGCAAAATGAATAATAATATGATATCGGGAAGATTATCTTCCGAAAGTAACTTTGAGTTAAAGCTTGATCCTCAAGAATAGAAATTAAACTTGATGTAAAATTTTTAAAGGGAACAATAAAATGATAAACCAAAAAAAATGTCATAAATTGATCTAACTATATAATAAAAAAATTAGGAAAAGAGATAAAAAAGTATTGACAGGAAATCTAAGGTAAAAGAAATGCAAAAAGATCAAGATTTTATAGGATAAGAAGATGATGATGATATTGACTAAGACATTGCATCTGCTGATGCAAGCTATGATGATAAGTAGTTAAGTTAAAGAATTCCGAATGTTATTTAAAAGAAAGTTGGAGATTTTAGAGAAACATCAAATGACATAATATCAGCATAAGTAAATGCCAAGAATTATGAAAAACTCCCTGGATTAATTATATAGTCAATTAGAAACAATAATATTTAAGAGTTAAAATTCTATCTCTCTAAATATCAAATAAAAAATGTAACATGGATGAAGCACATTGAGGAAGAAGGAAATCTTAGAGTAATGGGTAAAGATTTTGAAATTCTAAGCAATACATCTAAGAATAGCAAAAACATGAAAGACAAAGTAGATCCACCAATGTATGATATTTCAATGTGGAATCCTATCCTGTTTGCCATTTATTACTAAAGAACTGAAATGGTAAAATTATTGCTTGAGAGCTATGCAGCTAATTTTACAATAGCTATTAGATTGCCACCAGTAAATGAGTTTACTGAATACATAATTCCTGGATAGAAGCCACTGGTTGAGCAATGGGCCAATAGGAGGATGAATTTCTAGAATGAAAGTGATACTTCTTACTAAAGTCCACAAAAGCCTCAGTATGTGATACCTTTTAATCCATCTGATGCCCGAGTTGAATGTTTTGGAATAGAACTAGCAATTAGAAATAAGGACATATCAACTCTGATCTATTTATGGGATCAATAAGCAGGATTATGGGAAGAAAGGCATTTTGCTTTTGTGCTAGACAAAGTTCTCTAAGAACACTGGGATCTTGGTATAGGAAGAATATTTAGAGCGAATACTTCACATTTGATATTTAAGGCCCTGAATCCAGAAGATAAGGATAACTTCTTATTCTCTAAAATAATTGACAAGATTACTGATACTGAATACTGGGAAAGAGAGTAAATGCTGGAGTATGGTGCTAAACCAACTTAAATTACTGAATAGCAAGTTAAAATAGTTGTTGAGGAATTAAAAAATTAACCGTACGGCAACTATGCAGTTTTAAAATATCCAAATCTTTTTGAGAAGTATAACTTGCTTGAGGATACTCTTTAAAAGGTGAGGCATGACGATATCTATGATTACGTAATTGCTCGCAAGGAAAATATTAGACATCTGAATGACTATATTACTCAGTACTCAACCTCAAAGAATAAATCTCAAAAAATACTTCAACATCTTTTGAGTTTATAGAAACAAGCATAATAGATTGAAGGAGCTCAGAGGAAAACTCCACAAGATCCTAGATAGATAATACAGCTAATTAAGTTAGGGGATCTCAATAAACTAAAAGAATTCTTTGCTATTCCAGAGAATCAAATATTCCTTGATACATTGAACTAGCTCTAAGGTCACATGGATAATGACTATCAGAAAATGTATCAATCAAATGTGAAATACATACCAAGTGATGAGACTATTTAATTATTGCTAGCAGATAACTCAACTTATGAATGGAATCCTTTGATATTCTCTATTTTCTATTAAAGAAAGGAGATGGTTTAATTTTTCTGTGAAAATAAAAGAGTATATGCAAGAAACTGCCTGACTACTCCCTTTATCATCGAAGTAGATGAGGATGCTGAAGAACTAGATGAGGAAAAGTTCATTAAGGAAAAATCAGAAATGTTCAGCTTGGTTTTATGTATTATGCTTCACAATAAGGATATATTTAAGTATCTCTGGAGAAAATGCTCATTCATGTGGAATGATATTCATTTCGTAGCATTAGTAAATTTCATCTTTGAGTCATAATGGCTTGATGGTATTAAAATACTCTTTGCAAGCGCTAATACTCATTAGATTTTTAATGCCATGAATATGTACGAAAAAGAAAAATTCTTGAAATTCTGCGAAAAATCTATCAGTAAACAAAATCCAATTGCTATCAAGGACTTTAGATACCAAATGGCATTTGATCCCTACAACATCTATTACTTGCCTATTATGGCAACTAGAGAGGATTTACAAGCCTGGGATAAAGAAGAGGTATCCAAAGAACTATTCATTAAAAATTGCAGCATAAACTTTGATGAACGATCATTCGCAATTCTAAGTAAATTGAACAGTCATTATGTAAGTGAATTTATTTCCACTGCTGAAGGAAACAACTCAGAGTTGATCCAAAACTTTGCCAGGAAACTTAGAAGATACAAAGGACTCACAAACTGAGATGATTGAGAGTTAAACTTGTCGAAAAATGATTTAAGAATTTTGTTTATTAATAATCTGTGAGAATCAATGGTGAGAATATAAAAGGGATAGGTGATTCTAACTCCTTGATTCTATATATCTTAGATTAATTATAGTGGACTTAATTATAATATAAGCATTTATTTCATTATTATAATTGAATATCATTAATATATAAAAATGTCTTTAAGATAAGTATATAAGCACGACAAGTTGAAATAGGAAAGCATTGACTTTGAAGAAGTAGCTGAAATAGAAAAGGAGATTGCTAAAGAAAAATCTAAAAAGCCAACATTCTCAGCATTCCAGTATTTACAATTAATATCAATCATAACTACTAATTAGGATGTCAGAATCAGAGGAAGAGAATGAGGAAAATAGTGAGGATGAAAAGCAAGCTAAAATTAAGCAATAAAGCAATAAAGAAAGTGTAGATGATAGTCAAGCTAAAAAAAAGAAGAAAAAGAGAAACAAGAAAAAGAAGAAGGTTCAAGAAGATCAGTAAAATCAGGATAATGCAAATTAAAAGCCATAATAAGTTCAATCTAAGCAGAGTTCTACTTAAGATGGTAAAAAGTAATCACAATAGAAGAATAAAGAAGGAAAAAAGGAGGATGATCTTGATTTCTTAGATTCTATTATTTCAAAGTAATAAGAGGAGATTAAGTAATAATATGGCTCAGCTGCCCTCTATGGTCAAGATTCAGTTCTAAAGATGGAGAGGAAAAACTTTAATTTCAAGAAGGAGTTAAAGTAGCTTTTTGCCAAATCTGCACAGGCATATGGGGCTCTAGGACTTGATGAAGAGGAAAAAGAGGAGCGAAAAAATAGAGGCAATAACTAAGATGATTATGAGGGAGCAAGCAAGAAAATGAGAAGAAGGCTAAGAATGGTAGAGAAGATTTAAGAAAAAAATAGAGTGTTAACATCTAAGAAATATCTAATGGTCCAGCCAGACCCTCGCTGGCCAAGAGTCGACAGAATGGTAACTATGGAGCACGTCAAAACAGACAAGAAGACTGGTCAAAAGATTTTCAGTTTTGTGAAGCTACCAGACTATAATGTCATCGAAAAAGAATTCAAGCAGGTGTAAGCAACTAATGATATTCAAAATCTGATGCATTTCCTTCAGAGAAATTTCTATCATCATGAAAGTTTAGTCTACTTTGCTGACTTCCTAAGAATTTAGGGCAAGTTTTCAGATTCATTCCACTTCTTAGAAAGATGTCTATTTGCTTTTGAACAGGCTTGGACCTTCGAATACTAGCCTGTATCACCTGATAAAAATTAAGAAGATTTCTTCATCCCCTAGACTAGAATGGACATGGAGCAGGATCATCTCAATAAAGTGTTTGCAGAATGCATCGTAAAGTACATAGATATTTTAGGCAGGAAAGGTTGCAGTAAAACTTCACTTGAGTACTGTAAACTCCTTCTCAGTCTCGATCCATATACAGATCTCTATGGATCACTTCTAAGATTAGATTTTTATGCAGTTAGAGCTCACGAGTATCAGTATCTTCTTGATTTCATAAGAAAATTACCAAAGGAGATCTATCCTGATGAAAATTCAGCTTCATTGCTAATAATGCCAAATCTTTTACTTACATCTGCTCTAGCTAAATATCAAATTAAACTAGGCAATGGGTCTGATTATAAGGTGGCTGATTTAGATAAAACTCTTAATATTCTACAAAATATGTAAGTTCAATCAATGTATTATCAATATATTTAGTGAGGGATCAATGAATCAATTGCTTGACTTTGAGCCAGAAATACTGGTTATATCAGCTATTATACTATACCCTAAACTCATTTAACTCCTTGTCAAGAAAGTAGCTCAAAAATAAATCAATCAAAATAACAAGAAAGCTCATTTCAATGGATATCAAGCAAAGACTTGGACAGATATTCTAGCCCATACCCTATTTACAGAGATAGGAGAAGACATTGCTGGTGAATAGTCTTATAATTGGGTTCTAAATTAAGTTGAATAAGTTAAACTCAGTTAGGAGAAGCAAGATGAGTTAACAGATGAAGTTTTACATAAAATCTTCAGCATCTTTGTCTCAAGATCCCACACACTGTTTGCACCTGATAGCATTTTAATGTATTATTATTTCCTCAAATTATCTATACTATAGTTGGCTCAAAGAAGTCATTGGCTTTGTTTTAAACAAATTAGATGAGGGTGCTATTGATAGAGATTTAATGATTGGCAAATTTACTTCATTAGTTCAGTCTCCATTCTCACTCTCAAGATATAGATCACTTAAATAATCTGATTTCACTGATGATATTACAACTATAAATCCAAACGAACTGTTGATGGGAGGTGGACCGCCAGGTATGGAAGATCCCCACAACAATTAAGTTCAGGCAGAAGCTGGCATCGCAGCTTAGCAACTATAATAAATGATAAATCAACTTAACAGACCTCCACCTTTACATGGGCAAATGATGTAGTAATAATAGTAAATGAATCCACTTTTCCAGGAGAGAGATCTCTAAAATATGAGTGAATAAGAGATAGTTGCAATGTAAGAAGCAATACTAGCTTAAATGGGTGATAATGAAGATATTTACATTGACGATGAAGAAAATGCAGCAGCGAATCAAATTATTAATGCAAACAACGATCAATAATAGAATGTTTAGGGCGGAGGAATTTTCAATATGTTCAACAATCTTTTTGGGTTTGGAAACGGAAATCAGAACTAGCCCAGAGAGGAGGAAAAGAAGTAATGATGACTTGTTTTAAAGTATGTTAATCACTTAATTAAGTAAAGATCATACCTTATTCGTAACTTTAAGATAAATTTTGTTAAATATTGCCTTTCAATATTAGAGTATGGGGTTTTGGGGTTTTGGGGTTTTGGGG